TTGAAGAAAGCCGGTTTCAGTCGCTTTTACCAGGGAACGAAGTTTTTCAGTCATGGCCCACGACTCATGAACGCAGATGAGTATCGTGATTAAGATCGACCTGAACACAGCAAGATCAGTTTCAGTCTCAGCACAACCTTAGTCACAACGCTGCCACCTAGTTCACGCATAACACCTCTGAGAAGTCAAATTTGTGACTCGATCTCCTCCCAGTTTCCATTAACAGTAACCTCGAACCCAAGGGATGTGAGCTTCTCATCTTCTTCCACTTTGCGCTGTTGATCTGCACAGCACAACAAACGGCAGAACGAAAAGCACCAGGCGTTTGGCTTTCAACGCTTTGGCCACCACGTCGCATTCGATTGCGAACCTTCCCAGCGAGCACTGTAGTTCAGTGCCTACAAAATAAAGTCATCTACAACAGCAACCTTCTCGTCTTCACGTCCCTTACGCTGATGCACTCGCTCTGGCTGCACCTGATTAAAATAACCATCAACACCACTAACAAAAGAGGGGACATAACGATGTCTTTTTGGAGGCCAGTCCCAACGCTGAAAAATTTCGACTTAACACCATTTCTTCTGATGCAGCACCTGATATTAATATATGGTGAATGGATGACTCGCAACAACTTACCACTGATGTAGACTTATGTGTGGGATCCGATAATGAGCTCTCTCTAGGTCCACAAAGAACAAGCAAAGTGGATGATGGAATTCTGATATTTTCTCAACAGTCTGGAGAAACAATACGAACCTCCTGTCAGAGGTGCTTCATATCCTTTCTTGTAATTCCGAGGGATTTGCTTTCTAAAGCCTTGGTCTAGATGCCTGCCAGGAGGCTCATTGAGGTAATGTCCCGATGACTAAAGCACTCTCACATTCTCCCTTCTTGAACAGAACTATTACATCCCCATTATCCAGTCCGCTGCGGTCTTTTCCCCATAAACTGCAGTTTGACATACAAATGTTACCCACAACATACCTCTTTCACATAAAGCTCAGAGAGTATCTGGGCGGATTACATCAATTCTAGCAGCCATTCCAATTTTCAAGCTTTAAACATCTTGTGGAATTTTATCTACAGATATACTAATATCCATTCCCTGCTGCTCTACAGGCGAGTTTACGCTGTTGCTCGGGGTTAAAGAGTTCCTCAAAATGCTCTCTCTACCGCCGAATTGTGTCTCATTTTCTATAAGAGGGCGTCCGGACTTGTCCTTCAGGAGTCTCTGACTGCCTTTCTTCACATCTCGGAGGCACGAATGGTATGCGGTTCGACTTCGCTTCAGCCGAATGTTTCCCTGGAATCAGATTTTGCATTGGCCATTGGTTTGGCTGCCGTCTTGCGCATTATTCTTTATGCTGTGTTTGAATTGAAGGTTCTTTGGTTCAAAGCCATCTCTTGAATAAAGCGTTTTTGTATCTGACAGTCAGTCGAAACCCTCATCTAATCAGAAAGTTCGTTTCTGACCTCCCAGGCAACAGGATAACTCGTTTTCAACCAACGCTTATAACGGCAGCCTTGGTTCAGCGACTCTTAAAGAGCTTGTATTCGATTTTCTGTTTCCACATCAGTGGTCATCACTGGGATCTGTTCAAATCGTCATGCTATGTTTAAAAGTTTCGCCCCTTTATATGCAAAAGAAAATTTCCAATTTGATTCTCAGGTTGCTTCTGTCACTAGATCTTCGTATGGTACTCATTTCTTACAGCGCAGCGTGCCAACAATAAGGTGATGATCGGTTGATAGCTTTGCGTCTCTCTTAACACGAACATCCATAACTGAGCGTTTTAAGTCAGACGATGCGATTGTCAAATCGATCATCGACTTCTGCGTATAAGTTTTCCTATATCAGGTATTCTGATGCGTGTTTGGATGCTCGAAGAAGACAGACAGTGAGTTGCTTGCAAGAAGCCGCAACGACTTTATACCTCTATTATTGGATCGTTAGGACCGTTCTTTCCGGTCACGCCTTTCCACTTCTTATTGTTTCTTCTGACATGCGCACTGAAATCGCACATTAGAATGATGAATTCCACAGTCATTAGTTCCTAAAGAGCATCTCCTTCCTACAGGAAGTTTTCTTATTCTCCTTCAAATTGGACGCACAGACCTGTAACAAGGTCAAGGTGCAACTTCAGTCGGATGATTGCCACACTTCCGTTTACAAATGTCCACTGAATGATTCTGGTAGTCAGGTTATTCTGTACCAAAACACCAACAGCGGCCTGGACGCGCATGGTCATTCCTTGGCCCTTCGTCAACGAAAGTTCAACTATGTTGAATTGGCAGCTTGCGGCCCCATCAGCTGGCTTCTGCCTTTTTCTTTCCAGCGAGGGTGTGTTCCAGTTTCCCACTGTAAGCTCCCTCTATAGGTATGACTGACGTAGAATAACATCTCACGTGTTATAGTTGACTCCTCTGTTCAAAACGGACAGCGCACCCGTCGCTGACTGGTATCTTCGTCGTCTCCTTGTCGATTTTCGGCAGTCGTCGCCGTGCTGTTATTCCTCCCTCGCTGCCAAAAGGCGAGATGATGATTCATTTTGCAGGCTGTTCGTCGTGTGCCTCAAATCCTCAACGGCAAACCCGGCCATTGGTAACCCGGGCGACAATCGATTCGGCATAATGTTCGACAACGCAAATGCCATCAGGGCCAGGTGAGTGTTTAAAAGGGAGACTTCGCCACGGTCTCCAGCCCTCCTCCCTCCTCATAGCTTTGGACCACAGCGTAGGTGCTTAATCGATGTGTATCGCAACTTAAATTGCAACCTACACCGAAACTCTAATCGAAGCACACATTTTGTCGATATTCTTGACCGTGCTGGCCGGACGGCCTGCACAGTGAAGAACTTTTCTAAAAGCTGAAATAAAATTCATAAGCCTGGAATGACGCTCAACGTCAAAGTCGTGACCGCATGTGAAAGTGGAGGGCAACAGGGAGCAAACATAGTAAAAACAAGATAAATTCGCTTTGCGGCTTAAGGAAACTTTTTCGAGTGAAAATTTCCTAGAACTTGTCAACAGGCCTTTGTTGATTAGGCACGCCTTGGTGATTTGAAAAGCAAAGACCTCTTGACTCGACATATAACCTTTTATGAATCATGTCTAACAACGTTTTTGCATGTTTTGTGCTAAAAAACCGATACGCTTTACTTCTTCGAGCACATTGCCTGGTGCTCAACAAACAATTAAAGAATCCCGGCAAATGGATGCTGACAAGCTCGTGACTTCATATAAGCCGTGCAGCTGCGCTACACGATGAAAGTGTAAGGATTCGACCGCTGCACTGTATACTGAAAGAATTCATCCGTCTGAATGACCGTGTTTTGGTTCCTTGGGCAAGGAGGTTCGAACTACTGAACTGGACAGAGTTGGTAATTTATGAAACAAAGTTCTTTTTTTTAAATGAATATCACATTGTGTTGTTAGATCGGTCAAGACACATCGTCACGATCGTTGTTAGGTCACCGACCCGTTGTTCGAGTTTTGACTGCGCGCTTCCCAAGATAATTAGTAGTTCATGAGCGAAAACATTGCCACTTTCAACCTCAAATTTCAATGAATCCTCATTAGCTAAATAAATACCTCTACAATATTTTGCCACATAAGTTTTTACTGCGATTTTAATCTTTCCACTTTGCTCCATTAACGCTGAGTTTTTCTTCAGCTCATCCTGCCGTTGATCTTGAGATGATTTCAAGGCCATTTACTGTCTCTTTGAACCGAGTCTAATGTACCTTTGATCGATTCTCCTTGCAACGTGTTCTGCACACTGCCATTTCTACTTGTTACCTCATCAAGCGACATTTGCGTAATATGTTCCTCCGCCCATTTCTCCTGATTATTCCTAGCATGCACCCTCTAATTCTGCGTTCAGAAGGTTGCAGTTTATGAATGGCGTTCAGACATTAGCTCAGAATCTTCGCGTTTCATATTCGTAGGAAAACGCAGTGATTGAATACCCTCCAATTCAAGCGCTATGGCAGTTTCCTAGGTCATTTCAGTGCATACGGAATAATCAATATAATCCGCTTAACTCAGTTAAACGGGTTTACTGTGTTATTACTATTGCCATGTCTTATATTCTTAGAATCTTGGCCGAATGCATCTATGCGAGGCCATGGCTTAAGTATTTTAGAAATTTTATACTGCATTGTTTATTTGGTAGGAAATAAGCATTGCTCATCACCATTAATATTTTGGGGACCAGTATTAGTTATGTGCTTTACCAGCAAAATCAAAGTACATAGAACACAAGATCAAACTAATGGCACAATTTCTCTTTGAGCCTGTGGAATATTTCGTGTGAAAGGTAATTTTTACACATTACTCAAGCATAACCAAGGAAATCTGTGTCATTGAATATGCCCCTCTAAAATCACAGTTCATGCATGGTCCTTGAGATGAAGTGATTTTATGCTTCGGCAATTTTGTTTGTCTCATGAAAATCGGATATCCGGCAGTGAAAGTTAAAAACTCGAGAAAATGCAAGGGTAGAAAGAATAAAAATTTGCCGGGTATAGGAAATTGATTTTTTTATTTCGAAGTATCGATTTTTAATTTTTGATAATTATAAATTCTTATCCTCTTTGTCATTCTGATACATTTTTGCTGAAACATAACTTTTTTAGGTTTATACGTAGGAACAAAGAACTTAAAAGTTCCAAAATAGTCAGAAATTAAATAAAACGTAAAGCTCGTGCAAAATTCGCTGATTTATTGAGAGATGGTGAAGTAAAAAATAATTTTAAAACATAAATCTCTTCATTTCCAAAACCTTTGAAAGGCTTTTCAGTATATAAATGTTTATTAAACAAAATTTTTTTGCTTGAAATTGATGTGGATTCATCCTCAATATTATTATATGTACAAAATTACAAAAATCAGTCAACAATAGTGTTGCATACTGTGGTGTGATCTTTAGGTGTAAAATATAATTAACGAAGTGTTGATACATACCATAACGTTACACCAACAGATATAATTCGAAATTGGCCTTCTTCACAGACTCTTCAGAAAATTTTTCCTTTGAAGAATTTGATGATGAAGAATTTCTCATACGTATGAAGAATTCAAGTAATCATTTTAAAACTGATAAGCAAACTTAGTGTGTTGAAATTTCACTGACGTTCCTTTGAACGTATAAGGCTAGAAGCTTTCGTACTGAACTAATGTAGTGTACACCTGCAATCCCATAAGCGAAGAATAACGTTTGAAGAGTAAATTCAATAACAAAATTTGACTGAAGCATTGGAATCAAATAAGTAACAGGATCAAAAAAGCGATTAACCACAGCACGAAAAAATACGTGGAAAGCCAAGCTTAGTTATTTTAATTTATCAGCTAATTAGTAATGCTTTTGACTTTTACAACCTAACAAGAATGAACAATTTAAACTTCGTTGGTTTTTTAAAATTAATTTCTGAAAATTATTAATTAATGAAGCTTGATTTTAGAATGTATAGAGAAAAGGTAGGAGAACGAGGGGAAGAAAGAAGGTAGTTAAGTATACTGAGAGCAATTTGGAGTGAGAAGAAATGGACGCACGATAAATGTTCATCACAGACATGATGCAAAATCAAAGGTAGCCTCCACATGAATGGCTGAACATTAGTGCATCCAATTTGCCGTTTAGGTAGAATTTCCGAAGAAACATAATGAATAGTAAAAAATCGACAAAAACAGCCAGTGGTGAGTCAGAGGATTCCAAAGACAGCTGAACCATAAGGGTCACAAAGGTGGCAGAATCTGAGAGTGTCTGAGGAGCGGTTAAAAATAACCAGAGTCCGTCGAAATACTTGCCTTAGGTCGTTCTTGGCTGTCCCTGAAACTTCGACTTGTCGATAGAGCAAGTAGTAGCTGTTTAGTATACTTTCTGGAAACATTTTCAAAATGTTTCCAAAGCTGTCGCAACTGTAATTTCTTAACCTGGAGAAGTAGCTACTGTACACCAAGCCTCTCTCACATATCTTAACTCTGATCATTATTTGAATAACGAATCGTGCCAGGAAGCCAATTTCAGACACTTGTACCTGAAATGGAAATTTTTTAGCCAGGGCTCAGATTCATGACCATGGGTGATCATGAGGAAGACGATCGATTTGAACACGAACAGCCTACTGTCGATAATCAGTTGTATCTTAGTCACAACTCTTCGAATTAGTTCTCGCAGGATACCACTAGCCATACTAATTTGGCGGTTTTCAACACAGTCGAGACATTTGTTAGCAAATCTTTTTCCGTCTGTCCCTTGGCGCGTATTGTGTGTTTTTGGTGAATACAAGTGCGAGTAAATA